TTTTTGTTTGTTTTTTTGGGGGGGAGACTTCGTTTGATCTGAAGAAGGAAAAATTTGAAATAATACACTAGCTTAATCCGCACAGGACACCTATCTCATTATCCAAGAATGAAAACACCCAGGATTGTAGCCACAACGGGACAATCACCTCCCCAATGAAGCAATTACAGGAGCGACTTACTTACAGTATACGGTTTTTCAGCTCTGTTCAAATTACTCGGAAGGTCAATCGTTATTCCTCAATTTACTGAATATAATAACTTCTCGAACTACGGACTTGTTGGGTTTTGTAGTTTGTTTGCACTGGTGTACTTGTATTTCTATTGTGTGTGTAAATATCCTTCTTTGTGTGCAGAACGGTTGCCACCATCATGACAGGAACTCTTTTTTTTGCCCTCGATTGACGAATTTCTCGATATTCGGACTTAATTTTTATACATTATACTTGTATTCCGACTCTATGTGTGAGAACTCTTCTTTCTCACCGAACTTCTTTCCCCTCTTAACTGTCCATCTTAACACTTTCAACAAATCTGCTGGGTAGTTGGCGGGTGCTTTGGTGTGGTTTGTTCCTTCTTTCCTCTCAAACATCTATTGCCCTTATGAATCCTCCTTCTTTTTGTTTGCTTGTTACTCTCTAATAAAACATCGACTTTTCGACACTTCTATGACCCTATATGCGTGCCAGAAAAATCTCACGAAACCTAAAAACTAAAACACGAAACTATCTGGAGAAGCCAGATCGAAATCAGAGATAGTCTGCCGAGCCTTCTGGTGAACGCCCACTTCTCAGGGGTGAATGACCGCGCGAAAGCAATCCACGGAACTGGCTGAGGCGGGAAATAAGGGGTGTGGAAAAGGATAGGGGTGGGTTGGGTGGGTTGCGGGTAGGGGTTTGGAGATAATTACGTTCTGATTTCCATCTGGGGACAAAAACAATGAAACCTGGCTTATTAATGAGCATTTGAATTTTAAAATTGCAACGTGATGTGGAAAATTTAAGAAGATTATTTCGTAAACATGTAACGTGATCCTCAATGCATTATAGTTTTTAGTTTACTTGTTTACGTGCAATGTTGAAAGGTGGCTTTAACATGTCACCAGAGGGCAAAGTATAGCGGGTGGAAATTTTCAGACACACAAGGAGATTTGAGAAGTTACAGAAAACAAGAAGTGAGTGAGACGGAGAGAGAGAGAGAGAGAGAGAGAGAGAGAGAGAGAGAGAGAGAGAGAGAGAGG